ACTTACCTGGGGGCCGCTGGAAGTAGAGTCTGGGTGAGTCTGGGCCGCATCAAGTATTCCACCACCGTGGTGGTGGTGGGCCGCTCATCCCGCGTGGCTCCTGGAGGCGCTTTGAAGGCCGCAGGGCCCCTGCCCCATGCCTCGCCCGTCCCGGTGTGCAGCTTAGAGGGAACATTGCGCCCAGGGTAACGACTCCCGCAGGTGCGTGTGAGAAAAACGCGCGGGCCGCACTATCACTAAACTTTGATATCAAGTGAGGGCCACAAATATCGTCCCACGGGCCACAATTGGCCCACAGGCCACGAGTTTGAGACCCTTGCACTAGCCCAAGCTCTTATGGCCTTGTAGTCTAAGAACTCTGGAGGGCACCTTGATGGGGAAGGCAGATTCAGAGGTATATTTTCATATATGCCAGGGGTGGCCAGACTTGCTCAATGGAAGAGCCGCATATGGTAAATGTCCGATGTTTGGGAGCTGGAAGTGGGTGCCCGTGGGTGGCAGCAGCAGGTGGCAAGCAGCGAGCAGGTGCCTAAGAGCGGCAGTGGTGAGTGGGTACCCCTGGCCACCCTGAAGCTGTGAGTGACAAGCCACAAACTAAACTCAAAGAGTTGTATGCAGCTCCCGGGGCTGAGTTTGGCCTCCTCTGGTAAATGCTCTAAGGTAAAAGAAAGCTGTATACAAAAAACTGAAAACGTTCTAGCTCATTGAATGGATAAGAGGAAAAATAAACTTGGAATGGTCACCAGTTTAGATGGCTCTGAAAAGGAATTGGACAAATTCACTGAAAGAAGTTTATTAATGATCAAGAGTACTGATGGCTATATTTATTCATTAATTTATTATGCATAAATTAATAATTGATTTATTTATATGCTGCCCCCTACTCCTAATGGAGTCTCTGGGTGGCTTACTATATGGGACCTCAATGCCTATGTACACCAGTTGCTAGGGAACTCGGGTAAGTGGGTGCTGTTGCACTCATGTCCTGCTCATGCCTTTCCATGGACAGTTGATTGGCCACCATGTGAACTGACTGCAGAACTAGGTGGAGCTTTGCTATGATCCAGCGGGGCTCTTGTTATGTTCTGGTAAGTCTCATGGCATTGACTATCAGTCCAACCCCATGCATTTCTACTCAGAAGCAAGTCCCATCGGAGTGGAGCTTATTTCCAGGGAAGCCTATATAGAATAGTAGCCCACAGAGATTAGTTTTATTGGGTTGAGAAGGAAGACAATCCTATTGTTTTTAAATTGGCAATTCCGTTCTCAGTTAGTGGAAGGCTAAACATGGGTTTTATATGCAGTGATGGTAGATTTTTGTTGTTGCTGTTGTTGAATAGTAAAGTGCTTTATAATAATTTGATGTTGTTCGTTGTTGTCATCTCATCTCCAACTTATGGTGACCCTAAGAATGAAAGTTCTCCAAAATGTGCTACCCATGACATCCCTGCTCAGCTGCTTTAAATTCATGGCTGTGGCTTCCTTTATGAAGTAAATCATTTTTGGTCTTCCTTGTTTCTTTGACTTTCCCTAGCATGATTGTCTTTTCCAGGGAGTTTTCCCTTCTCATTATATACCCAATATATGATAGGATCAGCTTTGTAATTTTTGCTTCTAGGGAAAGCTCTAGATTGATTTGATCTATGACCTACTTGTTCATCTTTCCGTCAGTCCAGAGTATTCATAAAGCTCTCTTTCAGCACTGTGTTTCAAATGCATCTTTTTTTCTGGTGAGCTTTCATACCCATACATAGTAATCAGGAATACAATAATCTGGATCATCTTAGCCTTGGTCTTCAGTGAAATATCCTTACACTTAAATATCTTTTCTAGTTCCTTCATTTTGCTGCCCTTCCAAGTTTAAGTCATCTTTGAATGCCTTGCCTACTTTCTCCATTTGAACAGATGACTGAGCCAATGCCTGTAAAATCTTTCATAGTTTCAATTTTGTCATTGTTAACAGTACTGAATATTAACAGTTTGTGGTCATTACAACATTCTTTGCACTTCTGCAATCTGCCCTGGACTTTTTTTAGCAACGAGAATACAACTTCTCCATCTTCTGCTTCCAATTGCATAATTTGAGTGGTTGTCTGAAGTATGTATTTGCAATAAACAGACTGTTGGCTTCACAAAATTATGTGCGTTATTTTCCTGCTTTGTTTCTTATCCAATTTTCTCCTTTGCATTTGATAGTTTCCTCCTTTGCATTCTCATCACCTCGGATTATCAGCATGTCTTGTTTGCTGTGTTATCCATTTCCTCTTGAACACCTGTGTGAAAGTTGCCAATTTCTTCTTCAGCATCTGTTGTTGGAGGATAGGCTGCCTTCTTCTGTGCAGTACTAATCAGAGTTAGTTTGCATCACTGCAATCAGTGTTCAACTACTGCTGCTGCCCAGTCACTTCTCCACCCCATCACCATTAGAGAGATCCATTCTCTTCAGCTGATGTGACTGTTGCACCTGAAGAAGGTAGATGCAACTTAGTTTGGTGTTTCTGCTTTGACCATTCTGCCTTGGGTGACCCTGCTAGGAGACCAGACTCACGAGCAAATCTGGCCTCTTAGTGGCATTGCTCTCAGCTGCTCTGATATTCTCAGAACTCCTCATCACATTAAGCTGTGCTTCAAGAGTGGATTTATTATAATAGTTAATCTAAAAATAGAACAAAAAACCAATGCAATAAAAAAAAAATAAAGATCCCTGCTTGAAATCTAGAGTTTTCTACAATATTAGCAACTTGAGGCATTGGATCCATGGTTTTGCGCTGCCACCAGCATGGGCATGCAGTGCAAATTTTGTGCTGTCTGCCTGCAAAAATAATGGCAATGGGCAAGAATCTGTGCCTTGTGCCCTTGCAGTATTTCAAAAGTACTTCATAAAAGTGCAGTTTGTGAGTTCAGATAACAATTGTTAAGTGGACAGTAGGGTTCATTGGTTCCTCCTCTCCATGGATAGAAATGAGATGTGTTTTGGATCATTTTTCCCTGCCATTGTGCTGGCATAAACTAGCAGTGTTCTGCA